GTTTCCTGTATGGCCCAGCCTGGCCACACATCCCCAGTCAGCCAGTGAGTGCCAGAGCGATCCAGAGCTGGAAGACGGCCCAGGGCTCATCTGGTCCCCTTGCTTTCAGGAAGTGTCTCTCATCTCTCACTTTCAGGAAAGGGAAGGGCGGGAGGGACTTCTGTTCCTCTCCATGGACGACAGAGCCCGGGGAAGCGGTCACCCAAACAGCTGAATTCGGTTACCCTCCCATTTTGCCGCTCGGCACCCCACCCCATCCTAAAACCAACTTTAGGGTCTCTCAACCAACTTCGGAAGCATAGATAACTGAGCGGAGGTTTTCTTTCTCCTCCATCCCTCATGGCCCATCTGTTGCCTGCAAAGGTCACGAAGGAAACCCGAGAAGAGACGCGGACATCGCGCTCCCGCCGGCCCCCGCCACGACATGCGGAGCAAATGCAAGAAGCTAGAAGCCAGAGCACTGTACCTCCTCTGAAGCCCAAGTCCGCGGCTGCAGTCACACGACGGGAGGAAGGAAGCCGACAGTCATTCACCCCAGTAAGGCGGGGCTTGTCCCGCGACAACTAGGCTGCTTTTTCTAAACGGTCTTATTCCAGGCGCGGGATTCTGCCGCCCTCCCCACCCCCCATCAGGAGACACCAGGAGTAACAGGCTGGGTTCGCACCGCACAGCTGAGCTAGAATCGCTGCTGTACGCCCCGCGCCCCCTCCGTCCCTGGGGACAGGAGACCTCCTCGGTGGGCAGGACAAGCCCTGTGTGGGGGTCCTGGGGACTACTGAGACTCGCTCAAAGGGGGCGGACCGAGGGGCGTCTCCTGGAGCAGTTTGCTCACTGTCCCATCTGTCCTCCGTCTCCCGGTATCTGGTAACCCTGGGCGGGGAGTGGACGTCGAGCTGTCTAGGACACGCAGGGAACCGGCGCTGGCTGGGCTCAGCCGCCCGGCGATTGCTCCTCTAGAAGCAGCGGGAGCCGGTGGGGCTGAGTCCACTGGTGGGGCGGGGGCGCCACCCCTCCACCCTCTCCTCGGAGGGCCAGAGAAAAGGCGCCGTGGCCCTGAAGACGGTCAGCCGCAGCCGGGGTGCCGTGGGTGCCGCAGCCGAGCGCGCCTGGGAACCAGCCCCCGCCCCAGCGCGCGCACTCACCGCTGAGCAGGCGACCCGTCGCCCTCAGGAGCCCCGCCAGCAGCACGGCCAGCAGCACGGCCCGCGGCGCCGCTCCCCGCGGCATGGCCCGGCTCGGGTGCGCCTTCGGACCGCGGGGCGCTACGGCGGCGGAGCGGGCAGACCCGCAGCGGCGCGCTCCGCAACGCCAACGGCGGGCGGCTGCAGCATCTCCCCAGCACCGACGGACCCTGCACCCGGAGGAGGCGGGGAGGGCGAGGAGCCAGCCTGTCGCCCCTCCGCCCCCGGGGACGTCACTGCGGAGAGGGCAGCCCCGCCGGCGGGCCCGCCCCCAGAGCCTTCTCCAGCGCGCTCGGCGCCAGACACCCGGCCCGCCCCACTCGGAGCTTCCCAGGGACATCCTGCGTTTGCCCGGGGCGCAGAGCCGAGGAAAATCCCGGTCTGGCTTCTCCGAAATGCAACGAAGACGGCGCTGGCTAAAAACCGACCGTGTCTCGCCCCAACTCCTCCTCCCAGCGTCCTCGGCTCCGCCTTTGGGCCAGCGGGAGAAGCAAACTCCGAGAACTGCCGGGACTCAGGAGGCTGCCGTCCAGGCCTTCGCGGCTACGTCTAAGAAAGGAGCCGTGGACGTCGAGAATACACGCGCACCCAGGCGGGGTGCCCACTGGCCCGGCAAGTTACGCCGCAGCGTGGATACCGTACAGCGGAGGCTGAGTTGGAGTTCTGGCTGAGAGGAGAAAAGTGGCTCTCCCAGAGCATCCTTGAGACCAGCGAGGAAATAATACCGCTTTTTGCAGAGCACATGGGTGTGGGTGATGGTTCGGTCTCCTGGTAGAAAGGAGGTGACCCTCTCCCCGTCCCCCCAGGAAAGAGTGACCCTCGTTTCCCGTGGCAAAGCTTTCCTCAGGAACCCAATCTTCTTCCAAACTCTCACAATAGTCCTGTTTTACATTTGCACCTTGTAAACGAAATGTCTTCAAATAAATGCAAATAATAAAAGTAAGACTTATGTCCAAAAACTAAAGTGCTAAGTGCTGGAAGGTGGGTCTGATTTGCATACTTCCTCCCCGCCCCGGCCCAGCCCAATCTGGTCCACTGACTTCTGAGTTTTGGTCTCAGATGGAGCCATTGCCGTTTGAGACAAACAGGCCAAATTGATCACAGGCTGGGGCATCTGTTTTCAGTATCAGCTGACCTTTTGGGAAGCTCTGCTACTACAGAAAGGACAAAATTGGCAGGAGGAGGGCTGACCTTTAAGGCAAGCTCATTTACAGCCTGTCCTTATGCCTGAATTAGAATATTTCATGTCAAGGACACATTCTTTCTAGAAATTCCTGATTATCAAAACATCCAAAGAGTGGGCTGATATGGTGAGTAGAAGGACTTGATTTGGCAAGTCAACATTTGAAATTGTTTCTGGTTCTGCTTTTTTTCACTTAATGTCTCTGTGGACTCCCGCAAGTTTCTTTGCCTACATTTAACTCTTGGTAACCATAAAAATCATCACTTTAACTTGTGAAGTTTTGATAAGGCAACTGGGTATGTAAGTGTGCAGATAGCTGGACACTTAATGGCAATTACAAAGGATTTATTTCCAATCTTACAGCACGTATTACAGCTTAGAGAAGCTGTTTAACCTTGGCCCAAATAATTAAATTGTGTCCTGAGTCCTCCCTTGGATACCCTGGCCCTTGGTCCAGATGGACATTGTTGAGGTATGCAGTCAATCTAATGTAGATTACAATAGTGACCCCAATTCTTCACCCCACCCTATATCCTCAGCCTTTAACTAGGTGAATTTGCAGTTCTTCTTACTAAAGGAGCAGAGTACATTGCCTCCTCCCTTGTCCTTGTGTTTGACCAGAATGAGCTTAGGCTGGAAAAGGCCTCACATGGTTTTGTTTGTTCTCTTGCTTCTTTGCCACCCTCTGAGGGCTCAGATATCTCACTTGTCCAGGTAGATCCCAAAGAAGACACCTGGGGCGGAGTGGCCTCTGTCAATCAACAGACATATAGTGAGAAGCAGAGCTGTCCTGCAGCCAGAAGCTGAGCTATCTGGCCAGACTTAGTTAAATCCTCAGCTCACCTCCAGATATATAAGCAATAATAAATGTTTTAGATCACTCTGTTATGAAATGCTGTTGCAGCAATACCTGACCATTACACCTGGTAATACAGAACGATGCTGCTGGTTGCTGAAAAAGCTCATAAAATGGAATTTTTCTTGGTAAAATTGTCTTGATCCAGGCTCCAATCCTTAGTTTGACAAGTTCAAGCCCAATCTAAGAGACTAATATATTCACCCATTGAGAAACATAATCATAAGGTAAACTAAAGTTTGCCTTGGTCTTTTGAGCACATACTCACCCTCTGGGCGGGAAAAGATTTCTCAGTGAGCATGGCATCAGAACAAAGGGAATCAGCTATACGATTTGAAATTTAGGCTTTGATATCCAGCTATGTCCATCTTCGCAATAAGAGAGCTGTCTGGCAGACAAACACATCATCCTGACAGGGTAATTTTTAATCTTGATAATGCTGAGATGAGATTGCCAACTTGTAACTTTCTAAATTTCCCTTCTCTAGGTCTGATTACCTTTCTTTTGTTCAAAACGTTTTTCTCCAAATAGTGTCACAGCAGAAATGGTAATATCCATTCTCCACTTCTTTTAGTGATAAGAGTCCTTGAATTCCAACTAGGCAGATACCCCTCATCCACCCCCTTTAAAGACTGTTTCCCAGCCTTCCTTGCAGTTTGGTGCGCCCTTAATGATTAAGTTCCGACCAGTGGGTCACCCGCTCTGCTGCTGGCACTGTGGAAGCTGCACGATGCGAAGTTTATGTTCGGGAGTTGCAGGTGGAGGCTAGGAGCAAAGTGCATGGTGCTTCTAAATAGAGCTTCGAGCTCTGGAATCTCATGTACAATCCTGAGTAGGCCTGCCAGCTGGGCAATGCAGAAGGGACAAAGTCTTAACCTTCTCTTTTCCAGTGTATCCCACCTTTGTAAGTGAGGCAGGTTAGCACTGGGATTATGGACATGTGTATAAGATATGGGGATGTTGAGCCAACTATTCACAAAACTGGAAGTAATTCACTTCTGACTTCAGACATGTCCCAGAAGCTGAATTAACCAAATTTTGGATAATGGATTTTTTTTTTATAGCAAGAAGATTTTAAAGTTTTCAGGACTGATCTTTCATCTCTATTTCCTTATTGTTTTTACTTTTGTTGATATGTAGTGCTTTTATGCTGTCGCGCAGTCGTGTCTGACTCTTTGCAACCTCATGGACTGTAGCCCGCCAGGCTCCTCTGCCCATGAGATTTCCCAGGCAAGAATACTGGAGCAGGTTGCCATTTCCTCCTCCAGGAGATCTTTCTGACCCAGAGATAGAACCCACGTCTGCTGCATTGGCAGGTGGATTCTTTACCACTAGCACCACCTGGGAAGCCCTTGTTTTTATGATGGTCTACAAAGTGAGGCACATAAAGTCCCTGTTTCTTGTTTATCTGATATTGATAATATAGTTCAAATATAGCAGTTCTGGAAATACCCTTCAAATGAAAGCAAGATAAGTTGGAACTTGAGAATATATAAAATGAGAGAAGATAACTATGTGGTATCAAATACAGTGGTTTTCAATAAGTAAAACAGACACAAGTATTCAATAGTTGGTATTCCTAGAAGTGATGCATATTTAACTTTTATTTCTTGGTCTAATTTAATTGATTCCAGTGATCCTGATATAAGAGCCAGTTGTTTCAAAAGTGAAGATCTAAATGAGCCATCCTCTCCCAGGTGTCAGTCAAATTAATCCAAGGCTTTGACTTCTTCCTGGTCTTCTTTATCTGACCCTGAAATCACTTTCCTGTTGGCAGTAACAGGAATCAGTTCAGAACTCTGTACAGAACTCTGTAGCTGTGAACACAATGTGGCATGAAAACAACTTTTGAAAGTTTCTCCAATAAAAATTTACGGTGTAGGATTCTAACTATGGGTTAGATTTTGCAACCAAGTATAAATTTCTGTGTGGGAGGAACAGTCATTCCACTGTGAAGTGACTTGAAAGGTTTGGGAGTGGACCTCCTAAAGGTAAATATAATGTGCTCACCTAAGAGTCAAACTTCTGAGATTTCATCACTGGTGACTGATTTCTTTGGATTACCCAGTATTCCTTCTAGTCAGCCCTCTTTTAAAATGCAAATATTCCTGGGTGGATAAAAAACATAATGCCACTAAAACCTTACTGTGTACACACTTTTTTAGTTCTTTCTTTCTGACAGAATGGGACCTGGAGTATTCTAAGATCTGGTGAAGGAGTGATGGTAAAGGCAAATGTGTTTATGTAGGGAAGTTTTGGGTAGACAAGAAAGGATGGAGGGAAAGGAAAGGGGGTAAAATTAAAATAAAACTAAACTTTAAAATAAATTAAAATAAAATCTTAAGATATTTCACAAATTTAAAATTGTTCACAAACTAATGTACAGTATAGAAATACTACTTTCTAAATTAGCTAATGCTGAACAATGTGACATTTTTTTAGTTAAAACTTTTTGTTACATGGAATTCCCTTGTGGTCCAGTGGTTAGGACTTGGCATTTTTCACTGCCTGGGTCCGGGTTCAATCCCTGGTTGGGGAATTAAGATCCCAAAAGCCATGTGGTGTGGCCAAAATTTTTTTAGTTTTTTACAAATATTTTCTGAATTCCTACAGGGAGGCAGTGTGTTAGGCATTTTGTGCTAGACCCAATTTCTTTTGGAGCATATGATACAGTCACAGACAAGTAAAAAACAGGTGAAAAGTTAAATAAAAACATAGTAGAGAAGACTTGAAAAATTATAAAATATGTGCAGAAAGTAGTGCATGACTAATTGCCAAAAAAAAAGGTGCAGACAGGAACTGTGTAAGAAGCTCAGAGGAAGAAGATGTCGCAGTGAAACAGAATGAAATTCAAGGCTTCAGAACAGAGGAGAGAGGCCAAGCAGGTATACAGAAGGAATTAGGTAAGCACTTATATCATTAAGGGAATTATCTGTCCAAGTTGTGGAATAATGTTTTATTCTTAGGTGAATCCATATGTGTAGTAACAGGACTGTTCTGATCATCCCTATAAAAATATGCACAGAAATCTAAGGTACCTGGGGCTTGCCTGGTGGCTCAGATGGTAAAGAATCTGCCCGCAATGCAGGAGACCTGAGTTCCATCCCTGGGTTGCGAAGGTCCCCTGGAGAAGGGACTGGTTACCCACTCCAGTATTCTTGCCTGGAGAATCCTATGGACAGAGGAGCCTGGCGGGCTATAGTCCATGAGTTCGCAGAGAGTCAGACATGACTGAGCAACTAACACTTTTACTTTCTCTGTGGTACCCAGACAGATCTGCTGATACAATTCAAGGAGCAATCTTTATTATTTGAATCAGGCAAATGAAATTTTCACTAAACTAATTTTGCTCCATCCTTATAAATTAAATCAAATCATCTGACTGAAAAGCAAGAAATTAGTTGCTAAACATTGTGTAGACAATATTAGGTCATTAAGTGACTTTTCCAATTTTTTTTTCAGAACTTTAAAAAAATCAGGGTAGACATATTCATGTTTTCTTTAATAACATCTGATAACATTAATGGAAGTTGGCCTCAGAACCAATAAGATAAAAATAAAAATTCTATTACTTCTTGTTAATTCATGAATGTAGTATGCAAATAAACATCTGTCAAGTTAATGTTGAGTTAGACATGTTGGGTTTCAGTCATAATACAAAGATGGAGACACTTTTTATTAGGGATTCTTTAGTCATTATCAGGTGATAGCCAGTTTCCTTTAAACTCTCCTGGACCCTGTGCCTGGTGCTGCTCTGGGCAGCAGTATTCTGGGAATAAGGCGATTAACCCTGAATTGTGAGGCTAGCCCTTGCTACATGGATTAAGATATAGCTATTTTAGGTATGCCTTTGGTTGTATCAGAGTTGAAAATCTAGAGGACATGCTGTTTTGCCAAAAATGAGAGGGCTCAGTGTTGGTGGGAGAGAGGGGAGCTGAGACGGTGTGAGGGCAGGTGGATACAATTCCCTGGGGTGAGAAAGGAGGGGAATGGAATGTGTACAGAGGCTCAAGGTTGATCTATTATCCTGTTTGCATCAACTTATGCTTTTGTATTGCACAGACAGATAAGCGGACACACACTTCTATGTAGATGAGAAGAAGAAAGTTTTCTCAAAGCAAGAAATCTCTAAAACAGTGGGTGGGTTTTTTAAATAAGATTTGAAGTTAGGGAGAAAATTGAGTAAGGAAAAAAGAAGCACTTCTTTATAGGGAAACCAGAAAGGTGATGGAATTTCAGTTGAGCTATTTCAAATCTTAAAAGCTGATGCTGTTAAAATACTGCACTCATTATGCCAGCAAATTTGGAAAACTCAGCAGTGGCCACAGGACTGGAAAAGGTCAGTTTTCATTCCAATCCCAAGGAAGAGCAATGCCAAAGAATGTTCAAATTACGATTCAATTGTACTCATTTCACATGCCAGCAAGATTTTGCTCAAAATCCTTCAAGCTAGGCTTTAGCAGTTCGTGAACCAGGAACTTCCAGATGTACAAACTGGATTTAGAAAAGGCAGAGGAACCAGAGATCAAATTACTAACAAATGCTGGATCATAGAAAAAGCAAGGGAATTAAAAAAAAATCTACTTCTGCTTCATTGACAATGCTAAAGCCTTTGATTGTGAGGATGACAACTGGAATATTCTTAAAAAGATGGGAATACTAGACCACCTTATCTGCCTCCTGAGAAACCTGTATGCAGGACAAGAAGCAACAGTTAGAACCAGACATGGAACAATGGACTGGTTCAAGACTGGGACAGGAGTACATCAAGGCTGTATATTGTAACCTTGCTTATTTAATTTCTAAGCAGAGTACACCATGCAAAATGCTGGGTTAGATGAATTACAAGCTGAAATCAATATTGCTTGGAGAAATATCAACAACCTTAGATATGCAGATGATACCACTTTAATGGCAGAAAGTGAAGAGGAACTAAAGAGCCTTTTGACAAAGGTGAAAGAGGAGAGTGAAAAAGCTGGCTTAAAACTCAACTTTCAAAAAACTAAGGTCATGGCATCCAGTCCTATCACTTTATGGCAAATAGATGGGGAAAATGTGGAAACAGTGTCAGGTTTCATTTTCTTGGGCTCCAAAATCAATGTGAACAGTGACTGTAGCCACGAAATTAAAAGACACTTGCTCCTTGGAAGAAAAGCTATGTCAAACCTAGACAGTGTTTAAAAGAGCAGAGACGTTACTTTGCCGACAGAGATCCGTATAGTCAAAGCTATGGCTATCTGGCAGTCACGTATGGATGTTAGAGTTGGATCATAAAGAAGACTGAGCGCTGAAGAACTGATGCTTTCCAGCTGTGGTGTTGGAGAAGGCTCTTGACAGTCCCTTGAAGAGCAAGGAGATCAAACACAGTCAATCCTAAAAGAAACCAACCCTGAATATTTATTTGAAAGACTGATGCTGAAACTGAAGCTCCAATACTTTGGATGGATGCAAGCTCCAATACTACCTGATGCAAAGAACTGATTTATTGGAAAAGACCCTGATGCTAGGAAAAATTGAGGGGGAGGGGAGAAGGGGGCGACAGAGGATGTGATGGTTGGATGGTATGACTGACTCAGTGGACATAAGTTTGCACAAACTCAGGGAAGCAGTGATGGACAGAGAGGCCTGGTGTGCTGTAATTCATAGGGTCACAAAGAGTTGGATACAACTTAGCAACTGAACAACAACAACAGACAGGTCAGACTATTTTTGACAGAGGTAGACTTACTTTGCTTTGTGTACTTTGCCTTTTGGTTTATGTGGAAGGGAAATCAGTTCCTTCTAAAACAAAACAAACATCAAAAAGGAAAATTTTTTACTTCTTGCAATGACTGAGATTTACTTACTTAGGGAAAATCTGAGGTAAAATTATCACAGAGTTTATAATCACTATCTTCCTAAATCTGGAGACTGTGGTGTTAGAAATGGTCCAGATTAAGGCATTTGGGGCTCATTCAGGAGAGTGTGTTTGTACATCCATAAGACTATGGGATGCTATTGCTTTTATTGTTTGTTTATATTGTTTATTTAGCATTTTTGTATGATCTAAGCAAGATCAATCATTATAAAACAATACAGTAAGTCCCCTAACATGTGAACCTTCGAGTTCCAAACTTTCAAAGATACAAATGTGTGTTTGCATGTTCAATCAAAAGGTGTGAGTGGAACTGCAGCTCGCCCTCCATCTCCTGTTGCTGACCATCCTTCAGCTTTCCGTCTCCCCCCCCTCTCCCTCCTCCAGCCAGCAACTCCAGCCCCTGTAGGCCAGCTGTTGTACTACAATACTGTGCTTTTCAAGGTAACTGTATTGTAGGATTAAAAATGCTTAATTTTTGTTTTTTTTAATGTATTATTTGTGTGAAAAGTCTTATAAACCCATTACAGTCCTGTACTATATAGTCGACTGTGTTAATTGGGTACCTAGGCTAACTTTGTTGGACTTACAAACAAATTGAACTTACAAATGTGCTCTCAGAATGGAACTTGTTTGTATGTATGAGCAATGAAGTAGCCCATGTTAATATCTGACATCTTTATAACAGGTGACAATAAGCCCAGTGACAATAGTGCCATTTCCGCGCCAGCAGAGTTGCACACTCTGGAGATATCTTTGGTTTATCAAGGATTCTCAAATTATCTGATGTCTATGCCCTGCCCCACCTCCAGCATATAGAAGGCTCTGGACCATGGGCATCAAGATTTAAAGGATAAAGCTATAAAACCTCTCAGAATTTGCCACCCCCCAAAGATTTATGTGAATGCCTCACTATCAGTCTCACCGAGATCCTTTCTTCTCTTTGTTTTCTTAAGAGTTGGATAATTTCATCTCTCTTTTTAGCCTGTTTAAAGAGAGAAAAAGAAGTGGGTGAGTCTTTTGACTTAATAATAAAGCTTTGTGTCCATGGGAGGAGGGATGGATTTTTTCCCATTTTCCTTCTTGTATTTTGGGGAAGAAATAAACAGTTGTTTTCCTTGATAGATTTATACTTTTCATCTATACAATTCAGTTTTATTCCAGAGGTGCTGCTTTACAAAATAAACTTGATTTCGATCGTAAATGGAGGGAATTTTTCTTGCCCATATGACAATAACTTTCACTGATTTTAGTACATGAACCATGTTAAAAGCTTGATATATGTAGTACATCATTATTTTCTTATAATATGTTAGAAGTTTGACACTGCTGTCATCCATTTCACATATGAAGAATGTGAAGAGTACTGAGGTTAAATAATTTACCTAAGCTTTAAAATGGCAGGATTGGATTTGATACCCACTCTACTTGACCACAAAGCCCAAGGTATCGGCCGTTACACTAAATTGCCATTAAAAGGTAGCAAGGCACGTCAGCCAGCTCCAACAGCATGCCAGCACATGTTGCGATGGCGTGAAGGCTTTCTTGAGCAGCTTGTATATAGAACAGAGCCTCACACCCCATTGCTCCTCTGTCTTAGACATTGAGACATGCATATGCTCAGGTGAGTTTTTTTAAAAGTAAAAAAAAAAAAGTTAGTGCAGGCACAAAGATTTACCAAGATATAGACTGCACACAGTGCTTCCCTGGTGTCTCAGGCGGTAAAGAATCCACCTGCCATGCAGGAGACCCAGGTTTGATCCCTGGGTTGGGAAGATGCCCTGGAGAAGGAAATGGCAACCCATTCTAGTATTCTTGCCTAGGAAATCCCATGGACAGAAGAGTCTGATGGGCTATAGTCCATAGGGTCACAAAGACATGACTGAACGACTAGCACTTTCACTTCACTTTTTTCAGACTGTATACAAAGAGGCAAATATAGGTACACATTTTTTTTCCCCCATAGAATCCACATATGTTCAGTGTTGGAGACGGCCAGGCAGAAAATCGCATCTGGAATAATGAGAAGAACTAGGGAAGAAACCTGAGAATCTGAAAAATGAAACTCATAGCTTTAAACAGCCACGTACAGTGAGAGAAGCTTAGATCAAAGCTAGAAGGAAAATAAAACTGAGAATGGACACAGATTTGTCACAGCCAGGTAAAAGTACTAGGTCATCCATTCAAAGGTGTTGCACTACTTTCTTAGGACTCAGTAACAAAGTATCAAAAATCAGGTGGCTTAAAACAACAGATATTTATTGTCACACAGTTCGGAAGGCTAGAAGTCCAAAATCAAACTGTAGCAGGGCCATGCTCCCTCTGAAACCTGTAGGGGAATCCTTTTTTGCCTCTTCCTAGCTTCTGATCATTTGCTGGAAATCTGTGGCATCCCTTGGCTTGCAGCTGTGTAACTCCAATCTCTGCTTTCATTGTCACATTGCTTTTTCTCCCTGATCCTACTTCCAAATAAGGTCACATTTCGATGGTACTGGGGATTAGGACTTCCACATATCTCTTGTTTCAGTGGGTCACACTTCACTCCGTTGCTAACAGATTGTGACCAGTTAGTCACAAAGAGTGGGACATATTTAGCAACTGAACAACACTTCAGTCTATAATAAGCACCTATGATGTAATATTACTGTGCTAGGGGCTGGGCAAAATAAAATACCATTCCTGCCTGCCAGGTGGTGGCAGACTTGTAGATAAAAGGACTACAGTGAGGTTAGAACAGGATGCAAATAGAGAACTGAAGAGGGACCCTTACACACAAGGGTGTGTATCTATGGCTGAGACTCAGAGGAGTTGATGTCCAAGATTAGACACGAAAGTATAGTCACCAGATAATATCACAGACAGGACGGGGAAGAAAGCTTCTAGGCAGAGGAGACAGGTGTGCAAAGCCCTAGAAGCTGTGTATTGCTAAGTAATTACTCAAGATACTTCTTCAGTCCAGATGCAAGAGAAGCTGCAAAGTTTAGGCACACCCCACCCAGACGTGGGAGGGAGGAGGGGTGCTGGGCCTGAGTAATCAGTGGGGCACACTGCTGCTTTGGCTCTGCTTCATTCCATTCAAGTCATGTTAGTCTTGCTTTCTAAGAACCTAAAAAGTTTTAGTTTTATTTATTTTGGGACAAGATTTCTATTTTTCACTTGAATTTAAGGCATCATGTATCATAGATATTGAAAGAAGGAAAGGCATCATATATCACAGATAATAAAAGAAAAAAATACAGAGTCCTTCAAAAACTAAGCTAATTTTTTCCAGCTATACATATACATGTATCTACTCTTTTTCATATTCTTTTCCCATTTAGGTTACTACAGAATATTGAGCACTGTGCTATTATCTATTATCCCTGTGCTATTATCTATTCCCTTGCTTGCATGCTTAGCATGCTTAGTCGCTCAGTGGTGTCCGACTCTTTGCGACGCTATGGACTGCAGCCCACTAGGCTCCTCTGTCCATGGGATTTCCCAGGCAAGAATACTGGACTGGGTTGCCATTTCCTCCAGGGATCATCCCCATTCAGGGACAGAACCCGCATCTCCCACGTTCTTTACCACTGTGCCACCTGGGAAGCCCTTGCTAGTTATCTATTTTAAGTGTGCATATGTCATTCCCAAACTCCCAATTTATCCCCCTCTACCTTTCCCCTTTGGTATCCATAAGTTTTATTTTCTAAGTCTGTGAGTCTGTTTCTGACAAACTAGGATAATTTAAAAGTATCTGTCAATTTGCTAAGGATTGAATAAAATAGCACTTATAGATAAGACCTGGGATACTTTCAATGTAGGTATTAGGTGGCACTAGTGATAAAGGATCCACCGGCCAATGCAGGGGAGGTGAGAGATGTGGGTTTGATCCCTGGGTCAGGAAGATCCCCTGGAGTAGGAAATGGCACCCCACTCCAGTATTCTTGCCTGGAAAATTCCATGGACAGAGGAGCCTGGCAGGCTACATTACAGGGGGCCGAAAAGAGTCGGACATGACTGAATGACTGAGCACATTCAATATTAACTTTCTTTTCTAACTTTCCCATTACACATGTAATCAGTGGGAATTAAATGCTCCCATACTGTGATTACATAGCACTTTATACTTTTATTACAGTATTGATCTTACTTTGCCTGCTTTATCTCATAGATGCTTCCATGTCTCTTTCAAAGTCTTACTCATCCTTTTATCCTTCCTTCAAGCTTAGCAGTGCCTTGTCAATGATACTCAGTGAATTTCTGCTGAATTGATTGAGTCATGAAATATGAATGAATGAAACCATTACATTGTCTAATACACAATCACTAGTTTAAGCAAAAACAAAAGTCTTAGAGATTGAAATTAAACAGTAGGAAGTTTAGTTCTTAAAATCCCCTATAAACAAAACAAATATCATTATTTTCTGTGTAATAGAAAATATTGGTTAGTCACAGGTAAGATATTAATATATTGTCATAATGCTTCTAGTATAAATGGTCAAATATTTAGTTATAAGATTCTAAATAATATTAAGGTAAAATTCATTCATTTGAATTTTGATTTCATGTCCTTTTTTATTATAGTGGATTTTAATATCTAATCAGTTTTATAATATAATGCACCAGAAACAAAGTTTTCAAATATGATTTGATTTTTGCTTCCTGGATATGTTTCCTGGGAATAAATAACAAAACTATTGTAGGCAACTGTGTCATCAGAACAAAAACATTTCCAACTACTTTAAGAACTCTCAGCCAGGACAACTAAATAAATTCAGTGGTAAGAGAAAATTCTTACAGTTTACCTTATTAGTTGGAATAAATAATTTACTTGTTAATTTAATAACAAAAGAATTCTTATTTCCAACCACAGTGCATTTGTTGTGTTCATTAATGGTATTTTATAAGGCAAAGTCATTTAATTTATTAATTCTTAAAATGATAGCATAAGGGGGTCAGAATTTATATTTACAATATTTTTTCTTTTTTTTCAGGTTTGTTGCAATATAACTGACATATAACACTGTATAAGTTCAAGGTGTACAGCAGAATTACTTGACATATATGTTGTGATATGATTACCTCATGAGTTTAGTTACCATCCATCACCTTATATAATTAGAAACTTTTTTCCTTTTGATGAAAACTTTTAGATTGACTCACTTAGCAACTTTCAAATGTATCAATACAGTATTTTTTTCAACTACAGCCATAATGTTGTATATTACATCCCCAGGACTTTATATCTTATATTCATAATATTTTAATACTGGACATTTTCTTATAATCTAAAGTTTAGTTATATTACTTATATTTATATACTACTCCTGAGAAAATAAATTACGGAATAAAAAGTAATTTTAGGAAATTAGGATTTGACAATATATAAATTTAATATCTCATAAAAGGTTAATGAATTTTAGTGTCACTTCAAGAATTAAGTTGCTGAGTTCCTATTTTTGGCTTTTCAGAGCCAAACAGTTTGGGTGGCAACATATATTAGTTGCCAAACACATTTGGGTGTGAGTCCCAATTCTGTGTGATTAATGGCAAATAATATCTTAACTAATCATCCTTCTAACTGTAATCACTATCCCATTTGGTTAGAGGTTTGTGACCTTGGGTAAATCAAAGAACCATTTCTCTGGGTATTGATTTCTTATCTGTAAGGAAAGGTGTGAACACTGGAGATAATACAAACATTGCTTAACAATGCATGGCATATAGTGGATATTTATTAAATGGCAGCTATTGTTATTATAGAAAAACATTTTTCAATGCTTTTAAAATGTGAAAAGTGGGAAAAAGGGGAAGGATGTGTACCGCCTTCTGTGTACAAGCATGAAAGATTTCTGATGATTCAACCTCAGGTAAATCAGTGAATAGTGTTGGAAGGAAGAAGGAAGAAACAAGAAGGGATATCTAAGGTATTATTTGTCTTTTATGTAGTAGAAATCCCTCTGTTACAAAGTCTCCAGTATATTATAAACTTTCTTCTCAGTTAAA